AGTAATATTCCATGAAGATTAATCATTGTTATACGATATTGGCTAAATTGTAAGTACACACCCATTTATTATTTAGTGCACATAAAGTTATTTTTCTTCTTGTTTTTCATCAGATTGGACTGAAAAGTAATTTCATGCTTGTTACTCAAATACATTAATATGAAACTTAAACTGCTATGGCCGGAAAAGTTTGTAGATAGAATTTTTAAAATTGATTTTTCAGTGCCCGTAAAGGATATCCATTTACGTAGAAAATGTTGTAATACAGGATGTGACAACGTTTAGGGCTAATTTCCCTTGTCAAAATAAATAAGGCATAAAAAAAGTAAAAAAGTAATTTTTTTTCACAGGTGGCAAATTATCCAGTAAATAAAAAAATAGAAATTATGCCACAAATGAATAACTTCAGACATGACAGAGCTTAAAAAATTACACAGGTCAACAGTAGTTTGAAAAAAAATACACTGAATTCTACTTAGATACCCAGGAGCTTTTGAGATCGCTGATTCTGATGCCGACGTTGGTTAAGCTCTATCACGTCAGGATCAAGGTCATTAGAAAGTCAAAATAAGACAAGGTGGTTGGAAAAAATCTGAAAAAATCCATACATAGGTTTTTTGGGCCGCTGAATCTGAATCCGATGTCGATTGACCTCTATCACCTAATGTTCAAGGTGGTTTGAAGGTGAAAGGAGTTGGAAAAAATTGGAAATTTTTTTAAGAATGCTTACCTGTCTATTTTTGTTAGTTCTACCTGCCTTTCTGCCGGTAATTTTGTCTAGGAAGTCTGACTAAATCACTAAATGTTTCTATTAGCCTGTTTTTTTGCCAACCTCTGTCTAAATGTTACATGAATCTGAAATTTCATTTTCTTCATTCTCATCTTGATTGGTCCCCAGAAAATCTGGGAGCTTTTAGTGAAGAGCAAAGATAAATAATGCACCAGGACCTGAATGAGTTTGAACAAAAATATCAAGATGTTTGAGGGAAGAATATGTTAGCAGACTACTGCTGGAATTTAAAGATAAAGCATATAATTCCAGGAAAAACGTAAGCTTTCTCGTCTGAATTTCGATTAATACTGAAAGAAGCGAATTGATTTGTTGAAGGCTTTCAAAAGTTTTTTTTTTAAATCTAAGTACTTAGTTTTTGTACAATCACACAAAACCGAAAGAGGATGGTATTCAGAAAGGTAAGAAGACAAACTGACAAGGAGGCAGATGGACTGTTAGTGGACATTTAGACAGAGCGTGGCAGAAAAACAGGTAGATAGAAACATTTAGTGATTTAGTCAGTCAGGAAGATTACCGACAGAATGGCAGATAGAAAGGCAGGATGTCAGGTAGATGGACAAAGAGATAATACAGACTAACAAGCAAACGAACAGGTGTGCCAGTAAAAAGGCAAACAGATAAACAGACTAAAGTGAGCGTCCGTAAAAAATGTTTCCAATTTTTTTCACCTTCTATGCTTACTTTAACCTTCAAACGACTTTGAACCCCTGGGTTCCTAGGTAAAATCCGGTGTTATTTTTCAAATTAAATGTTGACCTGTGTTATTGTTAAGAAAGGTTTCTACTCAGAATGACAATGAGATAAACTTCTTACACAGGTTGTGTCTCTTTTTTTTTGCAAAAAGTTCATGATCAAATTTTGAGGCTTTTATTCGTATATTCTATAAAAAAGCTCAACAGAGGTTAAATTTGGTCTGTCCAAAAATACAAGAGAAGATTGAGTTTCATGTCAGGTAATTTTCTTTTGACTATTAAAATAAATCATTCAATTAATTATTGTTAAAATTATACATATAAGTATCTCCAATCTCCAAAATTTATTTTATTCGTGAAATGTTTGTATTTCTTGAGAATCTAGATGGGTATGCGATATTTTCTGTATATCTTCCGGTTTTTCAATTTCAAATTTAGGTATATAGGTATTTTAAATAAGACACCGTATATAATTCTCAAGGTACTGTACACATGAACATTGAACAGGCCCTGAAGAAGCTAATAAGACAAAATAATCATTTTATGTGAAATATGTGGTGGGAAATGTCTTAAATTACGTTTCAACCAACTCTTACTGTTTTATTCCTTTGGAAACAGTAAAATTTTATTCGGTTGAAAATACCTAAATTTAGTAATGATTTAAAAAGTTTTTCGAATGTTAATCCTGTTTGGAACACTGAATGCAATTCATTTTGAATTCAGAACAATTAAATATGAAATAAATGACTATGTACAAAGTACATACGTGCCTTTTTTCATTTCATAATAGTTTTAGTTATACATTTTAATTAAATTTATACGTTCGGAAAGAGAATTCCCGTTTTACCAAATAAAATATCGAGTCACAATAATGAGTTGTAAAATAATGTTTCGAATGCAGCGAAAAACGTTTGTAGTTTATACAAATTTAAGTGTAATATTTCTACAGCGAATGTAATTTACTAAACGGAAACAAAAAATATTGGTCTGTGTACGAATGGACTGTTTGAAAATCACAACGCTGTAGTGCTTACCTAATATTCACAGATTCTTTAATAAGGTATAAACACTTAGTTTATAAACCATTACGATGATGTCCCTAAGAATATATGGAAACAAACCTCACTGATAAATTTTAGTTACAAATTACTATTGTTTTTAGTTTGCTTCCAAATTTAGTTTAAGCCTAGGATTTGCTCATAAATATCGTTTCAGCAATGTCACCTTACATAAAGTGATCAGTATTTTGACGTTCTAAATTTTCCATAATTAAATTCTGAGAGAAGGAGAAAACAATGGATTAAAAAATGTATAGCAATAAGCATTGTGATTTGGTAGACTACTAAGTCCTGCTGAAATCCAGGATCATATGATTAAAAGTCGTTATTTAAATATTCAAATGAGATTTTAATATTTACATGACTTACCTATACCACTCAAAATATTTAAGAAAAGTTATAAGAAATATAGTTAGAAATTAGGCTAAATTAATATAAAAGTTTTAAATGTTCTTTTTTCTACAGAGTACTTCAAATGTCTGTAGCATTGCTATCTCAGAAAACGCCAGATAAGAGGCACAGTTAAATTGGGAAAAGTTACGTAAATCATTATTAATCCTTAATTAATAATTAATAATTAATTATTATTAATTAATTAAGTTAATTAATCATTTCTCGAAGAGAACTGGAGTATTGACAATAAATAACACTGATGATGAGCTCTTCAATTTGAAACATTACTAAACAGTAAAATACTATATATCATCGGAGTCTGAAATGAATAAGGAATTTAATACTGCAAAAATATTAATAGGTTTGTATTTAAAAAATTAAATTTATGATGACTTATGGAAGAAAATCTGTTTCCATTTTGGAACAAAGTTTCTTTATTTTCATTAACTTTTCAAATAAGCACAGAAAATGAAATTTGACAATTTTCACTTCCAAATTTTGAAGTGTACTTAACTAACTCTCTATCTGTGAGAGAAAACAATGTTATCTCACTCATATTGAAATATTCTGTATAAAAATATTTTTGGATTTTCCTTTAGCAGTAATTTGACAGTAAAATTTCGTGGTATAAATGTGACAAACCAGTCGTAAATCCTATTCATTCTTTTATTAGCATATACGTTAATAGTATGATTTCGTTTTCTGTCAAATGTAAACTGAAATGTTGAAATACGCAGTGCCTCATAAAACAGGAAATCAAGCTATTGTCACAGATTCCTTGAGAGGAAATAATTGGAAATCTTATATTACTTTTCACTCAAGCACCTCTTTTTTAATATGCAGGGTGTTAATGAAGTACGTACAATAAATTTAACAGACGATTATTTGAGTGATTTTAAGACAAAAAATTCATATAAACATTGGTCCGCAAATGCTTCATTTTGAAGATACAGGGTGTTAAACTTTTGTAAAAAAATTGCTATTTCGTAAATATCTTAAATATCCTTTACCCAATTTTGTTGTAAATTAGCAGTGTTATTTGTAGTGTTAAGGGGCTAATTTAACCCTAATTTGATTAGATTTATTAAGTCCAGTGGCGTCCGAGCGGTGCCTTAACCATTATTTTTGACAAATAAAATGTACGCCACTGATTTTTTTGTAATTTTTATATATTTTTTCAATTAAGCAACTAAAAATACAACTTTTTTGTCTCTTTAATGTTCTTGGTATATTGATAAATTTTTGTAAAAAAAAAAAAATAAAATCTACTTAATTTCATATCCCTGGACCATACAAGAAACATGGGGAAAAGTTTCTTTTGGAAATTATCCTTTTTTTATGATTTTTTATTAATAACATGTAACTTCTAAATAACATAAAGAACAAATACCTAACACTGACAAATTACAACAAAATTGGGTAAAGGGTATTTAAGACATTTACGAAATAGCATTTTTTTTACAAAAGTTTAAAACCCTGTATCTTGAAAACGAAGCATCTACGGACAAATGTTTATATGAACTTTTTTTCTTAAAATCACTCAAATAATCGTCTGTTGAATTTATTGTACATAAAAAGTTCCCATCGTATATCTAAAGAAGTTCCGACTGTTTAAGCCAAGCTCTACAAGAACATTAAAGAAACAAGTGTTTAATCTAAAAAACATTGTTTTTAAACAACAGACGTGCGTAGCAAAAAATATTTCCGTACTGGCATGAAATCAAAATTTTGTGATTTAAATTGTAATTTTTTTCTCCTGTAGCTTAAGAAAGATTCGCCTAATTGAAAAATAGCACAAGGAAAATTAATTTATTTTCATTCAAAGAAGATATACTCGCAGTTAATGGCTTGCTTAGTGTTTTATAAAACCCTGCATACATAATGATTTGGGTTACATGTAACCATTTCTTTTTTCATTGCGAACCATGAAAATACTGATCACCAGATGTTAAAAAAACGCTCTGCCTAAAACGATTCTTCGAAGACTTTCCAATCCTAGACGTACAGTAATAAATAAAAAAAGTTTGAGCAAAAGTTATTGCAGATCACTACCGCACAATCTTGTCACACTCTCAGTTCCTCCATTTTTGTATTCTGCTTGGAGTTCATTTGGGTGTTTTTCTTTGTCAGCGTGCCGGTGTTGATCAATTGTATGCTATGCGTAGACAGCAGAGGCTGATTTTCGGGCACTTGGTGCGAAGACAGAGTGTTCACGTTTGCTTTTGAAAGCTTCGGCGGAGGTGGGGGTCGGGGAAGCGTGGCGTTGTTTTGCGGTAAGTCCGCGAACTCCGGCGGTGGCAGTTGGTGGTGCGAGTGGTGGTGACCCAGGATGGTGGCCGGGTCTCCTTTGACTCCTATTATGCTTGATTCTAGATCGCCGCAGATATTGTTAGGCATTTGGCCGTTTTCGTTTCTTTTCTTAGGCTGATGACCGACGTTCTCATTCATGCGGGTTTTGTCCCTTTGGTAGTAAACACCTGCGAAGATTAACACGTTCAGTATCAAAAGCGAACACCCTATTGCTATGGTAACACTGAGGGCTGTGGAGTAAGCGGCGAAGCCATCTTCCACTGGGTGGGAAGTTGTGCTTATGCCTCCTAGTTCTTCTACTCTTTCGGTGGAGTCCATCGGACCTATAGTGGCAATGGAGTTGTTGTTAACTGTTGTCCGAAGGTCGATGGGAGGCTCGGTTGTGGGCAGTTTTCTTGGATTTAGTGACGGTAGCTTTGGAAGAGGTGGATCGTCGTCTGGAAGTTCGTGGTGGGACATGGGCACGTCGTCCCCTCCGGGTTTGTGCAAGTCTGGAACCAAATTTAACCAGAAGGATAGTCTGTGTGCTCGATAGTGGTTCTTCAGCTTCGGTTTCGTATCTGAAAAGAAAATAATAACGTTTTAAAATATGTACAAATACACTCTATCTCGTAAAGCATGTTACAATGTTTGAGTAGTGACATACTTAAAAAACTATAACTAAAAGTGTTAATAAATTTAACCTCTTAAACTCGCCGTTTCATGGTTATAGGCCTTAAAATGTGCAATTACAAAAGCAGTTTTTACGATGTAGCTCTTTTTTGGAAAAGGAAACGATTGAAATTTTCAGGGACGATCAGCTCAAGGAAGCATTAATAAAAAAAATTTGTTATGGTATATTGATTATCGGAAGATTTTTGGAAATGTCTTTAAATTTAGAATTTTTGCTTTGTTTTATTTATATGGAATGCTTGGTTTTTTAGTCAATTTACAAAATGCAGGCGGATGCTCGCTTTAATATTATTTAGGTACAATATTATTCACATAATATTCTTTTCGATTTATATTTTTAATATCTATTTAGGAAAAAGTGGTAAACATTAAAGTTTTAAGAAATTCGATTGCGATTTCAAAGAAGTATATATACATGGTGGTTCGAATTTTACGCAGGAAACTTGGAGGGCAGATAGATCTCTTTAAAATAATAAGTGTTTGCCTTATAAACATAGGTCTGGAACGGCCTCGTTTTAGAGAATACAGGGTGTTGAAGTTGTTAATAAAATTGATTTTTTGCTTGTATCTCCGGAATCTATCAATGGATCTCAATAAAATTTAGAACAGATAATATATGATAGTAGGCCTTGGATTCTCTAAAATATGAGGTCTAAAGGTTCAACCAGTGGTGTAAACTGGACAAGGTCACCCCCTTTTTTTATAAAAAACATACGCCAGTGTATTTTTTACAAACTGTTGTAACTGATTTATATTCTAATGTACAAAATGCATAAAAAACGCAACTTGAATTTTTTCCCTAAAGTTCACCGTTCTCAAGTTATTCATACCAATACAATCCCCTTGTGGCAGACACTTCTAACCATAATATTACAAGAATATTTATGTACCTATATGCTTAAAAGCAAGTGCAATTTCTAAGCACATCAACAAAATTCTTTATACTCGTCGCTTTCTTTTTGGATTAAAACGATATTTGGAAAATCACGACGACGCAATGAAAGACAGAAATTAAATTTTAAGAGCATTTGACGACGATTTCGGCTAAGTACACGAAGAACGTCTCGGCAACTTGAGATAAGTAAATCGAAAATTTGAAAAGTTCTACATAAGGATGGTAAAAATCCGTACCATTTACAACCTGTGCAAAATTTACTTCCGGGAGATGCAGAGACGCGAATTTTTGTTAGTGGTTGTTAAAGTCACAACATAATCCAGAATTCTTACTAGAAATACTTTGGACTATGAGGCTACGTTCACAAGGCGAGGGGTAGTGACTTTTCACACTATTTGGTCACAAGAAAATCCTCATGAAATTCGGACAAGATCTTTTCAACACGAATTTTCTGTGAAAGTGTGACTCCGGGAATAATTCGGACCTTTCTTCGTGCCACCCCATCTAAATTCCCAGACATTTCTAAACTTTCTAGAAAATCATCTATTTGAATTATCAGAGGATGTTCCATTAAATATACCACAAAATAACTAGATATAAATGGATGTGCTCCTACGAATTTTATGAGAGTAATACAAGAATGGCTTAATGAAAATTATATGGGGCGATTGGCGGTTGAAGACCAAATGCCAATGTCAATCATAATGGTGCAGAGGGTCCAGTGTCTTCGCCAGCCAGATCGCCAGATCTAAATTCCCTGGACTTCTATGTTAGGGGTTACCTATCTGAAAAGTAAAGTTTACTCTACTCCAATAGATAAAATACCACAAATACTGTAGAGAATAGAAGAGGCGTGTAATGAATTAAATGAAAACCACCACATGATAATAGCTTCAATTAGGTAGTTCCATTAATAGAAGATGTCAGAAATGTATGGATGTGGATGGCTAGCATTTTGAACAATTATTGTAAATACGTAACGTTTATTTTGTTTTTTGTTTAGTTGTTGTTACTTGGTAAATGTATGTTTATTATTATTTTGATTCAAATTGTTCTTATTTGTAAAGATGGTGGATTAGGCCTCCAGGGGAAACTAAAACACACTAGGAATGTGTCTCTCAGTTTATATGTTTATATCTGTATATGTTATAATCTCTTAGTTTATATGTTTATAATATAATGTTTATAAACTGTGAATTTGAAAAACGTTTTTTTTATTTTTTATCATTAGAAATTTGGTGGAAGCATTTCTAAAGTTATGGTAGTAGAATTCTGACAAACATTATTTCAACAGATACCGAGTTTCAGCAGCCTCAAGAAAAATAATATCGCACTTTTCTATTTTTTACGACGAAAGTTCTGTTAATACATCTATAAGTTATCCTTGCTATTAGCTTACATTTTTTGTAACTAAAACAATTTCATTGAATTTTTCCACTGAAAGCATCCTTAGATAATTTTTACTTACGTACCTATAATATTTGAGTTCGTGCACAATATATGTAATCGTCTGAAAGTTACCTATTCCATGTTAATTTAAAATTACTTTGTCAGTTACAATACAGAAACCGCAAATAGAATCGCAGGCGCGATAGTAGGTATATCTTTATAAATCCCTTACTTTTCGGTGATAAATGATTACCTCGTTCTCCTCTTTCTTTGTCAAACTTTGTTTTGTAAAGCGAAAGAGAAATAAATAATGCAAATGAAAGGAGACAATACTGCACATTTCGTAAACAAAGAGGAGAAGCCAGTTGACAATAACAAATTATTTTAAACTTGGTGCCCAAGAATTATTCACAATTTAAATATTTGTTTTAAAAAAATGTGTACAAAATGTTATTTATTACAGAGCATTTAATACAAACATTACTACCTTGATTATAAAATCCTCAATGCTTCTGGGATGACGTCAGTTCAGAAAGGTAGATATGTTATTTGATGTAGCATTTATTTACATTTTAAAAATTCAGTGAAATAAAAGACATAAAATCTGTACCCTCTGCGGTTGTACTAAAGTAATTTTATATGGAAAATTAGTTAGGTACCCTTGTACCTAATCTGGAATTTCTTTCACCATAATAAATAATCTAAAGGTGAGGTTCACGTCGCTGTGAATTTGGATACCTAATGTACACTTACCATTATTGGCAACCTGAAAATTGTTTAAATCCTCATATTTTACAAACGCAAATTACACGTGTAAGATTTGCAATGAACATGTATCACATGCAGCATTGAGGTATACAGGGTGTCCCTGTACTTGATACAAAAAAGTCGAGTACAAATAGATGAGGTCAAAATAATATCAGTTCTTCATATAGTATTTTTTTTTATACGGGCCTTCGTTACGAGCCCTCAAAAGTGAAAATTAAAAAGTTATTTTTATTTGCAGTCTCTAAACTATTAACTTCAAGATGATGCAAATTTGGTCATCGATAATACGTGCATACAGATTGTTTTTAATGTTGTAAGTGAAACTTCATCATGCCCAGAACGCCAGGACGGCCCAATGGTTAACAAACCAGAATTTTTGTAAAGATGACGATCGCAATCTGCCTGCATAAAAATAAGTTCCCTGAAGAATTTGCCAACTGGTTCAACTCGAAAAACTTAACAGTTTAGGAAATATTTGTGATTTTATTTCACAGTGGACATCCACCATTTTTTGTTTTTATTTTTTAATTGGACATAATTACTATGTTAGAACTGGCAAAGTAGAACAAAATAGTAGTTATTTATTCCTTTATTGCAAATACTCTGTAGTAACTGAAACCACCCACTGAGATTATAAAACGTGATTTAAGCAGTAACTCATTTTTTTAAGTTTTTTTTTCTGTTAAAATTCGCTATAGAAAAAAAATAGAATAGAATTCATTCTCTCCTTCGTCGTTATTGAATTAATGCTTTTCGCTAGTCGATAACATTTTATCGTCTAGTAACAATAAATAACAATAAAATTGTATTTACTGATCAAAATAATCTAACCGAAATTCGAATAGTAAATGAATATTGAAATTATTAAATTAAGCTAACAACAATATGGGTCCTGACTTCTGTCACCTCTGTCCGATATTAATCTTTTTAATATCCATTACGGATTGTGAAAATTCATCCACGAGTATCAGATGCGCAGTGACAATATTACCAGACTAGCACCGGAACTCATCTTCTGTCTGAAGGTAGTCTATGGTCTGAACCTACTGCGCCTCTATGAAGGTCTTCTACCTTTGTCACTCCTACTGCAGATTGTCGTCTTCTGTAGCGGGCAAGATGAGTTTTGTCAAGTTGTAAACGGTATCCTTCTCTTATGGGTTATTGCACCAATTTTGTATTAAACTACGTTTAACAAAACCTTAGTTTACAGATAAACCTCAATTAAATATGACATTTTATGGATTTTTCTTCTGCGTCTATTTCAAGTCATTAAAATGCTGTCAAAAATTTCAAAAATTACATCTTTTTTATATTTTATGATCACTTCTATCAAAAAATATTTCTTGTATACTTTTCGAGATGGATTATGCCGATTCTGCCAATAAGATAAAAAGATCAGCAAATTTTACTAATAACGACAAAGCTTTGTTGATAAATATTGTTTCTAAGTATAAACATATCGTCGAAAATAGAAAAACAGATGGGGTAACTTTCAGAGAGAAGAATTAACCATGGAAAAATATTGCTCACCGATATAATAGTTCTGGACCATCTTGTCCCAGAGATGTGGAATGTCTGGAAAGGTGTTATGATAACAGGAACAAACTGTTAAGATAGTTTGTATAATAAAAAGAACTGTAATAAAAAAGAAGCTTTTGCTGTTATAATTGATAGTTTGTTATATTTGCTCAAGAACATCTACAACCGTTTCTTTTTATAACCGAAAAAAACTGTAGACATAATTTTTTCAGATGTCTGGGAAATCCATTTTCAATTATTTCTATTATTTCTAAATCTTCGTCAAAAATGCCTTCATATTCTACATTTAAATCAATT